AGAGGACTTAAAACACTTCTATTGAAGAATTAAGGATGCTTCTAAGTTAATTTTAAGTTTGTCTCTGTTGCTCAGTTACCAATGTTGAAACCACTCTTTGATAGGATGCATTATCACAGAATAATAGAACTGTCTCATGATGAATTTAAAATGGCATTGTCCAATTTAATATCACTAAAATGTGGTAGTGAAATTTGAAAATAGCTAGATTAGGAGAGTCAGACTGAAACCGATTTATATTTCTTTGCAGAGAGGTCATGGCAGTGCAGATGCAGGGCTGGAACCCAAATGAGGTCGAAGATGCGCTGGCAGGATGGGATCCACGCAAAGAGCACTATATGAGTTATCAGAGTTCTGCTGTGGAGAGTGAAGGACCCTTAGCAAACTTTAGCCGTTCAGCCAATCTGTACGTTACTATTCTTCTGATTTTTGAGTGACTTGTCTCTTATCTCCTATTTTCTTTTACTTGTGCCTATGTCCTTTATAGTCTACATCTCATATATTTTCATGTTTCTTCTCAAAACTTACACTTGGGGAATTCAGTGCTATTAATTCATTTTTCATTCTTACCTTACAGGGCCAGGACAAAGGAAAATGTATCAGAGCCATATGGACTCTATTAGGAAAAGGATATGGACTCATGTCAAAAATGTTCCCCTTCATATGAAACCTGTAAGTGTTGATTTTGATTATTGATTTGATTTTGTTTATATCATTTCCTTTTTCTCTATGACCCTCCCCTTTCCTCTCTTTTTTTATTACTGATGGTTTGTCTTTTTCTTCTTCTTTTTCTTTGTCTTTCCATTGACTCAACCCTCTCTTCTCCAATTTATCTTCTATTCTCTCTTCTTGCTTCCCTCTATACTTATTTTTTCAATTTTTTCCTTCTTTTTGGCTTTGTCTACTTCTCTTTCTCTTTTCAGGAAAATCTGCAACATCTCTTCAGTGAATATGGGAAAGTTCTAAGTGTTTACGTCCGAAAGCACAAACCAGAGCAGAGTAATTTTAGGACCACCTGGGCGATCATCAAGGTGGAGAGTATGAGGTAATTTTGCATCTTGCATTATTTTTCATCATCTATTTCATTTGGCTGGGGGTAGGAAGAGGGGGGGGGGGTCAGGATGAATCGATAATCATGACATCACAATGATTTGCTCATATATGTAAATCCTTGTTTTTTGGTCAAGCATTGTACCAAACCTCCCAGATGTGTGTGCTAGAGAATTTGATTGTATGGTTTATCTGTTGTTTGAAAAACATCAGTAAGATATTGGTTGTATTTCACCCAAACAGAGAAGTAATTGCTATGATTGGTGGACTGAATGATAAGCCTCCCTTGAATCTGAAAGTAGAGTTATCACTAACTGAGGAGGAACGCGCAAGAAGACGTAGGGAGAAGGACCTGGAGCAGCAGTATCAGCAAGAGGTAATGCTACTGGGTTGTGCTTATATCCATATTTTATGGTGAATGAAACTGAAATCAAGTTGAATTTTATCATGAAGTGAATGCATTTAAGTTCTGTTGAAGGATACATTATTCAAAAATAGATTCAGATTCAATTTCATTTATATTTTGTAGTGACTAAAATTTTAGTAGAAAGAGATTATTATGGAATTCAGGTGTGTTCTGTTTGTATAGTTGTCATTATTGGTTCAGAAGCATCTAAATCTTGGATAATGATCTTTCATTTGTGTAACAACAGTATTGTGAACAAGAACTTCATTTTTCTTGGAAGCATCCAAACCTTTATTGTTGTTGCATGAATTGATAGACACCTTCAGTAAATATGATTCTTACATAGGTTCAGTTTTGTTTTATTGTGGTTGTCAGAAGAATCTCTTATATACACTCACAGTACATATCTAGAATTATTTAGAAATCTTGTATATCTAGATTCATGTTGTTCTCCGTACACAGTTCTAGAGTAATTTCTTTCTCCTTACATAATGCAAAGGGAAATTTACCTCAAATGAATGTGAATTTAGGATCTGCTTTCTCCACAGATGGAAGAAGTAACTGCTAGTCGCATAGGTGCCTCCTCTGTCCCAGTGCAGGGTGGTATAGGGGCTAAACAACAAACTCCATGGGAAGTACAGACGAAAGGGGCAGGAAGAGGAAGAGTACTTTCATCGATGTATGAGGTGAGAAATTAGAGACATGTAGTTAGTGAAAATGACAGTGATGATAATCCAAAAAGTTCAAATGATGATGATGAAAAATGGGAAGAATGGTAATTATGATTATGATGAAAAAGACACATAGTTAGTTAGATGAAATAGGCTTTATGGTATTAAAAAGAGACGGTGAGCACAGCTGGATGATTAGCTCGGGGAGAGAAGTGCTTCTTAGGGGAATGGGTGAATAGGGGTATGAGGTAATATATTGGATTTGGTTGAAGGAAACTTGAAAGAGAGTGTCAGATATATTAGTGGACTCTAAAAATGTCCCATAATAATAAAGGGAAAGTTTATTGCAAATTGCTGACAGGCTGTGCATGATTGTTACAAATAGCACTAATAACTCAAGACATGGCAAGTGATTTGATTTATTTAATACATCAAGTTGAGATTAGTGTCTGAATTTCTCTAGAATGAGTACATGTATAAGTGGATTGTGTGCTAAAAGAAAAGGGAAAGTGTATTAGCAGTTTAATCATCTTTTTTCCTCCATTTTTACAGAGTAGCAATCCTGGGATTGGAGAGAGAGTTAATAAATCTAGTCCATATAGTAAAGGATTGTCTGATCAAAGGTAAAGTTTTGCTTTTGCTGAATAACTTTTATATATAAAGAAGTGCATCATACATTAATTTGTTTATTTTGTTTATTTATTATATATATATATATATATATATATATATATAATATATATATATATATATATATATATATATATATATATATTTATTTATTTATTTATTTATTTATTTATTTATTTATTTATTTAGAAGAACTTTTATATATAAAGAAGTGCATCATACATTAATTTGTTTGTTTTGTTTATCTATAATCTTATAAAGTTGTCTCTCATTAGCAATAAGAGACACAGACACATACACATATACACACACACAGAAAAAAACACATCTATGTATGTGAAGCTCTGAAATACAAACCAGTGTGTTTCCAGGTATGAGTCACCAGCATCGAGATCCTCGGAGGTCAGCAAGCCAGTAGATGATGTATGTTCCTCTGTAATATCCCTTTGTTTTATGTTCACTTTTATGAGTAGGCTAGAAATTTTTCCTAAATCATTTTTCAATCTCAGAATAATAATATTTTATTTTGAATTGTAAGGAAAGAAACATACACCTGTATAAAGATTGAATGTAAATTGTTAGACCCATATTTTTTCTTTTAAGTGTAAAATAACACCATATTTATATTTATCATTATCCTGATTTATCCTTTTTCCATTTTATCCAGGCAGTTGTGGAGATAGGCTGTGGTAGTGTGGCTGTGGGATACAGGCGACCACGACCTTGCGTAGCCTGTGGTGTCTTGGGTCAGCTGAGATGCTCGGTTTGCAAGGCTTGGTACTGTGGAAAACTCTGCCAGGTGGATGACTGGTTTTATCACAGGGAAAAGTGTTCCCCTCCACCGTAAGTGTTGAGCGTTTCTTGTGTGAGTTTGATTGTGTGGCTCTAGACAAAGGTCTCTTTATCTTTATTTTGGTGCATGTTTTTTATCTCTGTTTCTTCTGCTCCCTATTCCTCCTCTTCCCCATCTTCTGCTTCTTTGACCTGGTTTATATTATATTTAATTAGTATGTAAAAATGTATCAAGTATCTCTAGTTTACATATTGATTTATTAAAGTTTACAGTTTGTTGTTACAAAAAAACATATCCAAAGTTGAAATGACTGGTTTCCTTAATTGTGCTTTCATTTTTCAGCCCTTTAGAAGATGCAGACAGCTACAGCAATTACCTTCTCTTGGATAGCCAAAAGAAACACATCAGTGAAGTCAGTCAATCCATGCAAAGCAAAGGGAACATAGGGAATGAACATAGGCTATTGGCTCCAGACATTCAGAATCCTTCATTTTCCAACAATGAGGATGATGGTCCAGTGCCCAGCGAGACTATTAGAAGTATTTCCCAGGAAGCTGTGGGAACTTCTTTTAACCAGAATGGTCAAGATGCTAAAATTTCAGCGGGATGGAAAGAGCAGGATTATTCGACAAATACGAAAGATACCAGGTTGAATCACGTCTCAGAGAAAGGGATGTCATCCCGGAAGATTAATGGACACAGTCAGAAAATTCCCACAGGTAAATTAAGGAGGCCATACCATGCCATTGATGATTTTGGCAATGGAGAACCTAGTGTCAGTCCAGTTAAAGATGCAAGGGAAGGGAGCCAGAATAGCTCTGCTGATCAGTTACTAAATGGCTCAAGAAGTGAAGAGGTCATCACTCCGGACACCAAGTCTCTTTCCGCCAATAAAGTGGAGAAATCAAATGTTACAGAAACTCAAGAAACCACTCTCAGCAGACTTAGTAATGGTCCTCCAGCTACGTTAAGCAATGGTAGTCTACCTCCTGAGCAACGTACTCTAGCTGAAAAGGTTCAGGTTGGCTGCGAGTACCAAGGAGCTATCATATCCAACAAAGGTGACTACAGAACCTTCACATTAACCTTGATGGTGGAGTCATCAGATAGTGTTCTTGACCAAGTGCTAGAGGTTCTTCCTAGCATACCCATGGATCCAGACTTCAAAGCTGTGCGTGGTTCTCTAGTTGCTGCTTTATCCAAGCAGGATGGGTCATGGTATCGTGCATATGTTCATGATATAGAGGAAGGGGAGTACAGTGTGTGTCATATTGATTTTGGAGATGTGGAGAAGGTTGAAAAAGTCAAAGCTTTGCCTCCAGGACCTTTGAAAGATTTTCCTGGCCACTCTATGATTGGAAAATTGCATGCTTTGGTAAGGCCTGAGTATCAGAAAGAACTGGAGGCTCTTATTGTTCCCGACAAGCAGATAACTATCCAGGTAATGGGTAAGAAAACAAGCTCTCTCAAGGTTGGAGTTAAATCTGAGAATTCTGGCGAGATATTGGCATATTATATTTTACGGTCATGGTACACTGGCCTCCCAAATCTTGCACACCAAATCACACCCACAGGAAGTTTTTATGATGTAGAAGTGAATAATAATTCAAAAAGCTCTCCCATCAAAGGCTCTGCACCTCATGAAACTCATGTAGCCACCACAAAACAGACATCAGAGAGGGCTGCAGATGTATGTCAATTTATTCCCCACTCAGTATTAGTTTCTGGGGTTGTGAAAGAGAAAGGAAATGATCTCCTCAACACTGGGAGCAGAGTGGGAGGAACACACAAAAAATTAGAAATTGACAACAAGACAGACAAGCCTTTGGAACATTCCTCTCCTAAATCCATGGGTGATATGCAAGAGACCTCTCAACCAGACAGAACCATAGGTGATGGTGAAAGTAAGCAAGGAAGTGGTGGACTCTCAACTCCTAAAGGCAAATTGTCTGGTATCACCAATAAGTTTTGGGCACGGGATCTACCATCCATCAGTGCTGAACCAGGGAAAGAATATACAGTCCTTCCGATATGGTTAACGGAGGATAACATGTTGTATGTGCAGATTGTGTCTGAGAGCACTGTAGATGCTTTTGGGAAACTGCTGTATGATATGAATACCCACTGTGAGAAAGGTATGTATACTTTAGAAGACAAAAACAAGGATATCCATATTTCCATTATATAATTGACCCCTTTTCTTTTTCTTTTTTCTTAACTAATCTTTAATATACCTTTTATTGTGTATTCCAGGCAAAGTTCCTGACAGCATCACTGTAGGTGAAATAGTTTGTGGATATGTTATGAGTGAAGAGATGTGGTACCGCTGTGAAGTGCTGGCAGTTAATGACCAACAGATTACAGTTCACCTTTGCGATTTTGGCAACCAAGAGCAGATTCACAAGGAGAGCATTCGGGCCTTTACAAGCAATTTCATGAGAGATCAGAGATTCTGTATGAAGGTGAAATTGGCTGGAGTGTCAAAGTATGATTCCGTTGCAAGAACAAAGTTACAGGCTCTTATAGATGGCCAGAAGCAGCTTCTGTTGTATTCTCGAGGAATGGAACCTTTAGAGTTTGAGCTTTTTGATGCTTCTGGAAGAAATGTGTTAACAGAGGAAGAACTAAATAAAGAGGATAGAGCTGATGCGACAGTGGTCAGTGAAAGCACATCTGCAGCCAATGTTTCCTTGTCATCAGGCAAGCCCTCTCCTTTGGGAAACAGTGAGCCAAACGGTCAAGCAGAAAAGCCTGTCAAAGTAAGGCTAACAAGCAAAATGCAACTAGACATTGCAGAGCAGCCAGCATCAGCAAAGACCTCTTCAAATGGATACAAGTCAGACGATGCCTATTTTTCAGCACCAAAAGTGACATCAGATTCTGGTATGTATAGATTACTGTTCTATTTCTTTTATTGATAGGAAGGTGTTAGGTATAAAATTTATTTTATATATGGAATTCATATTCGTATTTGACTAAAATTATCATTATCATGATGCATTTTGGTTGGGTGATTAGACATTTGCCTGTACAGTATGCTGATTTTATGTAGTATAGACATCTGAATATTATCTGTGGTTGATCAAAAAAAATGGTATTCTAGTCTAAATTTCAAAAGAACTAGGTTACATAACTTACAAAGTTAGAAAAACTGTATTCATTTTGGTTATGTGGTTAAATTTTTTGCTTATCCAAAGCACAGGCGGGAAAAATAAAATAATGTACAGTTAGGAAATTAAGTAATTTTACGTTTTATACCAATATGCATATATGCCATACTTTATGTAACTTTAAGGTAATGAGGAAATTTTATGTTAGTGTAGTATTTTAAGGTAATAAGTATTTCTTCTCCCCTCCATATCCAGCATCCAATAAGATAAGAATGTATGAGGAATGTAAATCAACCTCCCTACCAATTTCTGACAAAGTAACCATCATCGTGTTGGAAGCAAGCAGCCCGCATGCCATAAGTGTAGTTCCATATGTGAGTCATGTTCTGTATTTTTTCCCCCCTTTTATTAATAGGATTGTGGAGAAAAGTATGCAGAGTATTTTGTACTGCCCATTGTAGTTTGGAAATTGACACATACTTCTTTAACTCTGGCATTTTTTATATGCACACAATCTTCTGGATGTGCCTCATTTTATATGGTTGATGTGATTTGTATTGAATATAATCAGGAACAGCCTAGGTGTAATACTGTCTTATCTCTTCAAAGTTTTTGTCCAAGAAATCTTCCATGCAGATGCAGATATCAATATTTGATTATTTTTTGACAAAATATGGATATTTACCACTACTAGCTATAAAGTATTTACATTACTTACTCTCTACTCTTCCAGGAATCTTTAGACTTGTATGATAAGTTGGAAGAATTAAGTGTGACTATGAACCAGTACTGTAATAGCAGAGTAGGGCTATATAGACCACGTGTTGGTGAAATGTGCCTTGCAAAATTCAGTGAAGGTGAGATTAATGATTACATAATGAAATTACCATCATTGTTGAAAGCAAACCCTGTGGAAAATGAAAAAATGGATATTAGAGAACAGGAAAGGTTAAATCTGTAAAGGTAAAATTTGTTTGTCATCTCTCTTCCTCATAGTTGAACTTAGTTTGTCATCTCTCTTCCTCATAGTTAAGGATTTTATTGGGAAACTGGGATGCATTTGACATGATTACTTACTTGCCACAAGTCATTTGTAGTTTTTCTACACAGGAATATCAAGTTTATCCTCTCCTCTTTATTTAAACTTTGAAATTTTAGTTGCTTCTCTCCTTCCAGATGATCAGTGGTACCGAGGGGTGTGCATAGGTAGTGACGTTGAATCTGCAGCCGTGTTCTTCGTGGATTATGGAAACCATGAAAGTGTTCCCCATTCCAGGCTGTGTCAGATTCCAGATTCTTTCCTGGAATTACCATGCATTGCTCTTCATTGCATTTTGAAAGGTATGGATTTTGTTGTACTTGAAAATCTTTTCTACATCACAAGCTTTTAAAAAATTGGAGAGCATGTTTGTAGGCTTTCCTCTTCTTTCTTCTTCTCTCTCCTCCTCCTCCTCCTCCTCCTCCTCCTCCTCCTCCTCCTCCTCCTCCTCCTCCTCCTACTCCTCCTCCTCTTCCTCTTCTTTCCCTCTTCTTTCCCCTTTCCCTCTTCTTTTTTCCCTCTTCTTTTCCCCTTTCCCTCTTCTTTTCCCCTTTCCCTCTTCTTTTCCCCTTTCCCACTTCTTCCTCTTTCCCTCTTCTTCTCCTCCTTTTCCTCTGTTCCTCTTCTTCTCCTCTTCTTCTTCCTCTTTCCCTCTTCTTCTCCTCCTCTCTCTTCTCTTTCCCTCTCTTTCTTCCTATTTCCCTCCTCTTCTTCCCTCTTCTCCTCTTCTTCCTCTTTTCCCTCTTCTCCTCCTCTCCTCTTTCCCTCTTTTCTCTTCTTTTCTTTCCCTCTTCATCTCCTCTTCTCTTCTTCCTTCTCTCCTCTTTCCCTCTTCTTCTCCTCTTTTCTCCTCTTTCCCTTCTTCTCTTTCCCTCTTCTCTTCTCCTCTTTCCCTCTTCTCCTCTTCCCTCTTCTTTCTCTTCTTCCTCTTTCCTCTTCTTCTCCTCTTCTCCTTTTTCTCTCCTATTCTTCTCATCTTTCCCTCTTCTTCTCTCTTCTTCTCCTCTTTCCTCTTCTTCTCCACTTTCCTCTACTGATTATTTCTTCTTCATTTTGTTTTTCCTTTTCTTCTCCAGTTCTAATTACAGCTATTGGCTGAGAACAAATCTTGAATCCTGAATGACTTAAGAATACTGATGAAATTTATTTTGATATAAAGTGAGTTAAGTTCCATATGAAAAATTCTATGTACACACTTTGCATGTGGAAAGATTTGTTCACCCAAAAAGATGTGCTTTAGGTGGAGAAAAAATATATTTCTATTTTTTGTAAAGACAAATGTAGACGCACTGACAGAAGACAGTAGGAAAGCCTAATCATAATATCTTTCCTCCATCTAGGCATATCCGTAGAAGGTGTGCAAGAGAAGGCTTATGAGCGCCTGCCGGAGCTGCTGCCGAAGAACACTCCCATGAGCGTTAAGGTTGTGAGCCACAACGAAGAGGACGGGACATATGTTATTGATGTACCATCGGTCGTTAATAGCCTTGTGTCAGAAGGCCTCGTTTGTAGGGAGAGCTAGTTTGTATTTCTCGTTTTTCTTTTTTCCTTTTTTCTTAATGTCTTTGCTTTCGATTCATTTGGTCTTTCTTTAATCTCTTTTCTGCTCATTCTTTAAGACTTAAGAATGAATGATTTCATGAAGACATATAATTATTCTCTGTTTTGTTTGCTGAACCGCATTTTCCTTATTATTGTATATTGAGTGAGATGTTATGTAATTCTTTATTACTTACCAAAGCTTGGTATGTTAAACCTATTCATTATCTCAGTTACATTTTGAGTTTATGTAATATAGTATTTTTATTCATGCTGTTTAGATGCATATTGTAGAATTAGCCAGAAAAAATAAATATCTTCTTTTTGAGTAATTAAGTAATAATAAGTCTGAATTACTAATGCATAAGGTATATTTTTACATTTGAGAAACTTCCATTGGATGTTTTGCTTCCCCTTTACCTTCCTCAACCACACTGCCTCCTTCCCTTCTCTCTCTCCCATTCTCCACCTCTCTTTGTTTTTTGTTTTTCTTCATTTTCTCCTTTCATCTGTCTCATTTTTCTCCTCTCTCCTGTCTCTCTCTTCTCTCTCTCCTCCTCTCTTCTCTCTCTCTCCCTCCTCTCTTCTCTCTCTCCTCTCCCTCCTCTCTTCTCTCTTTTCTCTCTAGTTCACTCTTTCAGTCTTTCTCTTTCTCTTCTTTCCCCGCCGACCCCATTTCCCATCCCCATCTTCTTTTTTCTACACTTATAGTAAGAAAAGATGCAAATATAAGTCTTTAACCATTTTAGCAGAATCTCGAGTTAAGTCGTATTTCCAGTAATACATTTTGTATTTATTTACTTCACCTTAAAATTTATTAGTTTCATAGTCTATGGATAAGTGTAAAGGATGTTACATGCTAAATTGTTATATATGTTGTAAAATGTATGAATGAAAGAATCAAGCTGGTCCTCATAATGAGTTCGAAGAGTTAGATTAAATTAATTTGACATTTTCTTTTTTTTTAACTGAACTGCATGCCAGTGTATAATCATAGGTGTAGATTGTTAGTAAACAATTTTTGTTTTTTTCCTTTTTCTTTTTTAATATATTGATGCAAATAGCAAGGTCTTGTGCCAAACTGGCCCCTCCCAGTTGACTTAGCTGTGAATGAGTGCTGGCATCAACTGGAGTCAGAGTTGGGGCAGAAATTAACTAGCCACCCTACTGCATAGTCCTGCAGCTTGGTAAGCATGCCCCAGTGGTCCACTTGGATATGGAACCAAGTGTGACGTAGATTGTGATGATGGCGATGTAATTTGCTTTTGTGAAACCTGTTTTGCATTTTCATTTTTTATTAGAAAGAAATGTTACCTTACTCCATTATAATGTAATGATGTTTTCCTCTTTTTTTTATTTCATTATTTTTGGTAAAAAATAAAGTCCCTTTTTTTTTTTTTTTGTTGTTTTGTTCTTTTGATAATTTACCTCAATTCATTGCAGCTGGATTTATTTGCCTGTTTTTGATACTTGGTGATTGTTATTAGTGATTTATATGAAATCAGTACACTAAATTAGTTTGTTTTGTAAGTAGTGGAATTTTTTGTCATTTTACCAGCACTCTGGACTGTTTTTCATTATTGTTAGTGTCTTTAGTAGCTTATATGCAATGCAATCTTGATTAGTGTTACTGTATTGTCATAATTGTTAAATTTTGCTTGAGCTGCATGTATATCTTGCAGAGAGGAATATAGAGGAAGATGGAATAATGCTGTAAGTCATTGATATAGATAAATACCAACCTTCCTTGACAATGGGTATTGTTCGTAAAACTTAGCTATCATTACTTTCGTACGAGTAGATAGGTAATGTCTATGGAGCTAGTATGATCCTTGTTATAAAATCCTTTTCCTTTGGTATTTTGTGATCTAGGTTGTACTACAGCTCATTCTGGGTCATATACAGTGATTCAGTTAGTCATACAGTGACAGGGGTTTGAGTCCTTGTCAGGGAGTGCTGTTATCTATAATGAGCATTTAAAATTTGGCAATACATATACCATTTAACCCAAATGCCTCCAGGCAAATATGATGTTCACTGTAGCTTTGTTTTGTGAATTGTCTCTACACATGGGTGGCTCTATAATTGCTCAGCCACCAAGGAATCCATAAGTAGACCCAATGATGTCACCTGATGTCCCCTTTCTTTGATTTTTTTTTCTACTAATGCTATCAATATTTGAAGCTGTTATTATCATTGACATCATAATCATATGTTATTAGCTTTACTAATAGCAGTAGAAGATGAAAATGAATCTTTCCAAAAGTCAAGGAAAAGGGTACAGAGGTGAGACAGGTATTACTATTAAGGTATTACTAGTAATTGCCTCCTTGGTGACTAAACTCTTGTGGAGCCATCCATGTATAAATTCAGTTGATAAGCTTGCCACATAGTTGGCATGGCATGTACATACATTCCATCTCAGCGGGCATGGGGTTTGGATTTACCTGGAGTGTTGGTAATCATGGGAAAAATTTGATGGACTCGCCCATTGGTAGTTTTGTTGTGATTTCTTTGTTTTGCACACAAATGGCTCCACAAATGCTGTCACCAAGGAGTCAGTAGTTACCTGATTTCCTTATTCCTTGAATTTTTAGGATTTTTTTTTTCATGTTGTTAATATTGATATTGTGATTATTAATTTAGATATTATGACCACTGTTATTAACACTGCTAATAGTATTAAAAAATAAACAAAAATATTTCCAAGAAACAAGGAAATGGTAAACAGGTAAAGTAGGCAGGACAAGTAACTGACTTCTTTATGACTTACGTGCTTTTAGAGCCACATATTTGTAAACAAAATTAATTGATCAAAATTGCAAGTGGACAGTGTATGTACCATTCCGAAGTCAGTGGGTTAAAATAGAAGAGCAGAATTAAGGTGAAAGCTTCATCGTACATTCACAAAGGTAGACTAGTGAAGGGTAATGCAGAAAAAGGTAGTTCAAGTGCGTGTTTCATCTGAACTTTATTAGCTAGGCAGTCAATTATTAATTTAACTGGAGATTATTAGACATATGTGATGAATTAGTTTGTTGCTGCAGTTTGTTATACCGAGGGAACCACCAGCAATAGATATATTTTTAATATCAGTTTGTCAAAAAAATATTAGAGGGAAAGCAAAGAAAAGGAAGCATCTTTATTAAATAAACTTTATTATTTATTATAAAGGGTTCTTTGGATATGTATAAGAGAAATACAACTTTATACAATATAACTGTCTTATCTTCTTGTGTTTAAATAAACACTATTGTAGAGTGTTGATCTTTGCATAACACACCTGAGAATATTTCATTTTTTGTACAATCTCAATGTAATTACTTCCATCTGAGAAGTAATAGTGAGATACTTTATTCCGATTTTCATTCACTTGAGAACCTGAAAATAGGTTCGTAACATTACGTTTCTGAGTTAAATTTTATCAGGCTACTGATAAAATTCAGCCAAAAAATAATGGATGGATTCAAATTACAAAAAAGTTCAAGTACCAGTAATTCTCTTAAGGTTTTGTCTGTGATGCAAAGATCCTGTAATGTGTTTTTCTTTAATTTGTTTAAATTTTTATTTTTGCTTGTTCATTTGTTTTAACATGTATTTTGTTTAAATTTTGGTAACGTGAAATATAATACACTTGTTGCCCCAGAGTTCATGAAAGCATCAACAAACACTCCTTTACATCTAAAATCATGCAATTTACTTTTATCTTTGTAATTATAATGCAGTACATATAAATCTAGATCTTTCCTCAATAATATCAAAATAGTAATGGTTTCTGATCTTTGCTCATGACGTATATACATTTATGAAATGAATATAGTCATATTTTTCTCAACATGAAAGCCCTAACATGGTTCTATATGCTGCTGTGCACAATGAATTAGTTGTACTAACATGATTCAATGAGCAAAGTCAGAAGCTATTCTATAATTGCTTATTTATGTAACTGGATTATTTTAGTTAGCTTATCTTTTAAAAATTGTGTAAGGCACAAAATAAGGCCTCCTTTGTCATCCAATATTAATCTTCAGTGATATATGACTTTTACTTTAAAGTTTTAAAAATATATTCCTTTCTTTGTCACTGATTATTATTTTTTTTATGCAGTGATTTTGAACATAAAAGAATGGCTCAGAATATAAGTACCGGTATTACCTAGGCCCTTTAAACCTTTGTCAGTTATATACATAAAAGCTACTTTTTTTTCTTTTTACCATCATAAAAAGTTTTCTTAATACCTATATATGTGAAGATTGATAATACTTTTCTTTTTCTGACACACAATCACAGGTCAAGGTAGAAAGGTCATTATGTATGTACTTGTGTCTATATATATGTATGTTGAGTGTATGAAAAAAAAAAATGTATATATAAATAGTTACTACTTAAGGAATAACAATTAGAATAAAAAGATTATGACAAGGGATTCTCATTCTTCTATATCATGCTACTCTGTATTAGATACCTTTTTTTTTTTTTTTTTTTGGGACTACTACTTTTATCCGTTACCATAAGAAGGAAAGAGACACCAAAACATGGTAATATATTAAATTTTTTACAAGTCAAAATATCCTACATAGCTGTTTCAACTGGCTTAAATGTTGTGGTTAGTTCTTTCGAGATATCTTTCAATTCCCTTTTGGATCCATGTATGATTTTCACACAATCCGGCGAAAGACCACAAGCATTAATTGCATTCTTGGCAAGAACATCCAGAGGCTGAGGTTTTTTGTTGAATGTCGAAAGTTTCCCGTCAGCATCCATGATGTTTTTGTCCTTCATCCCAATACTATGATATATTGGTTCTACTGGCCGGGTTGACTTGTAAATCTCAGCATCTTTTACACTGCCGGTACTGTTACTGTCACTCTCCATAGCCTCATCACTGGTCTCACTTGCAGAAGAATTGACTTCCACCCCATTCATCAGTTCACAGCTATTTCTGTTCTCTTGCATGTTAACCTTGGGTCGAGAGAGGGATGAATACAAGCTCTTCCCTTGGTTGTTTGAGTCATACCTCCTCAAGGGTACAGGAGGCACACCATCTACAGAACTCTCTCTCTTTTCAGTCACTTCCATTTTGGACACATTAGTGTTACTATCGCTTCTTGTTCGACTAGAAGAAACCAGACTATTGATTCCACTCTCAGAGCAATAAGCAGTGCCTTTGTTGCTGTCTGCTTGCACTGTCACATGATTTCTTGCTGCAAAGCTGCTGGTGCTGCTGCTCCTGCTGGAGATGAGTCCTGTCTGCCCGGTACCAAGGGCATTTCCTTGTACCAGGGCTCCTCTTCCTGATAGCTGGGGTGTAGCATACACGGACTCACTCTTTGAAATCTGATGAAAAAAGCAGGTTTCATTAAACACTGTTATCTTCCCAGCTTAATAGTTTACAAGAAAAGGGGATAAACCTGAGGTAATTTTATTCTTTACTTTTTATCTTCTAGTGGAAGTTTAGTGAAGTGACTAACATCTAAACAAACTAGTCATTTGCATACAAGATTGACCTCTACACGCTTTTGACAAACCTGTTGATGGATGCTAAGTGGCACATGAGCTCGGAGTGGTGACAACCTTGAGCTTGAAGTGTTTCCGCTCTGTTGACTAACATCACTTACTGGAATTCTGAATGAAAGTGCATATTTAGGGTGGGTGCATAATCCTCAATGGAAGCATAAATGCATTCCGGTGCATAATTTAAGACATGCATTCAAATGTGCTGAATAACAGTTTTAAAAAGGTGCTTAGTGATACATGCACTCAAACTTTGGGAATATCTCTCAACTGACTGTAGCAATGCTAAAGCAATCAAAACTGTTTATGAAATTTTGTTTGAACCTTATTTCCTTTGTAAAAGAGGCAGCACATGCAACTAAAATATATTTAAATAAAAGCTATCACAAAAACAAAAAGTAAAACCTGCTTAAAATAAAGCATTAAACACACTTCAGCTCAGAATCATACCTCGTAAGCTGGTCAGGCCCACAAGCAGCATTTCCATGCCAAGGATACGTAGCAAGCACCCAGTCCAAAGGATCCGTCCACGTATCCAGCAGTCCTGTGCTTGAAGTAGACGAGGCCTTCACCGTCGCTATGATATGCGGAACCAAACGCGTGTTCCATATCTCGGTGAACCACACCTGTGTCTCCTCCTGGCCCATGGGACAGTCAATCAACAACCCTGGCCCAACAGCTACCTCATGCGAGCCACAGTGGCCAGACAGGAGTGTGTTAAGGTGGAGCCACAAGCGCGTCAGCCACTCGGCCAGGTGGTGAGCATCGGGAAGCCTCGTGTTGGCAGCGACCTCGGCTGCCACAACACGCCGGCGAAGTACACGACCGAGCAGGCCTCTGACTGGCTCCTGCTGGGTACTCAAAGTAGCCCATCTAAAACAGATACGAGTCTCCCATGATGAAGGTGTTCGTCTTTCAATATCAGGTTTCTGGAACTGTCTTTCTGAACAATTTGTCGAATTCATGCTTCTTGATACTATTGTTTCTTCCTTACTGTATAATGTGCACATTTAAAGTTCAGAATTTATTTGCATTTTGTCTCTTGATTTGTATGTTATCCAGTCAGGAACTATAATTCTACACAGCATTGAGTAAGGGAATAAAGCTACTTTTAAGTATTTCAGATAATATTGGGAACCCCTCTTAAACATAGGCATGATGCAGCATTCCATGGTATGTCTTGAAAACCATTACTTAAAAACTAACTTAAGCATTCCTGATTTAACATACATGTCACGTTCACAAAAAGTTTAATACCGTAATTATTCAAGACTCAGATTGTCAACATTCGAGGCATGTTTCACCCTCCAGCAAAACCACAATATGAATATAATAAGTATAATTTTGAGTTGTGATAAGAAAAAAAATACTACATTATATATTGCACATATGAAAATCAGTTGCATGCAAATTGAACTTTACCTTGCATTAGAAATACCACTGTAAAGTTTTTGTCTCTCCCTCTCCCTCCTCATTCCTCTTTTACACTCCTCCCTCCCTTCCTTCCCTCTGTCCCCTTTCTCCCTTATGCCCTTACCTTTTCTTCCTTCTCACCTCATACATACCCAGTCCCTCCCCTTCCCCTCCCCTCCTCCCCCTCTCCCCTCCTCTTTCCCTACATCCTTCCCTTCCCTTTCTTCCACTTCCTACACCCTTATCCGTTGTTCCTGCCCTCCCACTCCCATCCTAATGCACATCCCTCTCCTCTACATTCCCGCCCCTCCCCAACCTTCCCTCCTCCCCTCACCACCTCCCCTCCTCCCCCCCCCCTCCCCCCCTCCTCCCCCTCCCTCCCCCTCCCCTCCCCTTCCCTCCCCCCTCCTCCCCTTTCCCTCCCCCCTCCTCCCCCTACGCCTTCCCTCCCCCTCCCCCCCTCCCCTCCTCCTCCCTACACCCTTCCCCTCCCCTTCCTCCTCCCCTACACCCTTCCCTCCCCTTCCTCTCCCCCCCCTTCCCTCCCCTCCTCCTCCCCTCCCCTTCCCCCCCTCCCCTCCCTACCCCTTCCCTCCCCTCCTCCTCCCCTCCCTTCCCCCCCCCCTCCCCCCTCCCCCCCCCTTCCCCTCCTTCCCCCCCCCTCCCCTCCTCCCCCCCCTCCCCCCTCCCTCCCCCCCTTCCTTCCCCTCCCAACGGAAAATACCTAAAATTGCAGTGGATGTGGAGGCGAGTTGCCAGCGCCGCCGTAGGGCAACTCGTGGCAATGATGGCGGGACCCGAGTGGATGGACGCAGGCAGGCACCGCTGCAGTGTCTCGACGACGCCACCTGAGAGAGTAATGACAATATTAGTAATAATGATGTTTGTAATTACAGCAGTCATAATAATGATAAATTATGATGCGGTCTACGGGGGGGGGGGGTGAGTGAGTGGTTGAGAAGTCCTTGACAGGAGATAGTGGAGGCGGCTCATCAGGGAATGAGGATGATGATGGTGATTACAATGATACTACTGCTACTACTGGTACATAATTATGATAATATGAATAATATAAAATATCGAAATCCACCAAGCATTAAACTGACTCACCTGCCGCATGGATATCGTCAATAATAATAACTGCCGGAAGCGCTGGACTAGACTCGTGGTGGTTGGAGGTGCTTGACGTGTTGGAGGAAGAGCCAGCACTGGTGGTGGTAATGTTTGAGAGGCTGTTGGCGCAGCGGCCAGTGGAGGAGAGACCGCGGGGCCATAAGCTCGACAGCATCTGGCACATTTCGAGGGAGTTGCTGCCTGTGACTCTGTAATGAGGAAGGTACGGGTTTTGGGTTCGGTTCGTCTGTGAATGAGACTGGAAAGAAGCACTGGGATTATAAATTGACTGAGTTGACAAATGTTGGGGAAGAAGTCTAAGTTGAGGATTCGGCTGTGCCTTTCAAAGATCAAACTTGGATAAAATACATTATAAGTTCTAAATAATAATAACCATAAAAAAACGTACATCCTAAAATTGAGCAATGGCGAAAAGAAAACGCCCAAGTGAATATCAACACTTTAAATTTCTCCCAAATTTAACAGAACTACAAACACGAACACTTTCAAAAACGTCAGTCCAGCTTAAAGAATCACGATACGTTCTAGAATAACGCCCGCTAACTTACGTAAACGTTTTAATAGCATCCTCGGTGAGCTCCCTCCCGGAATTCGTGATGAAGAACTCGGCCAGAGCGTTAGCCAGGAACGTCTTGCCGCAGGAAGGTGGGCCAGCCAGCACGAGGCGTCTGTGCTCCACCAGCAGATTGGCCAAACGTTTGAGCGAGGTAGCAGGGGTAACGTTGATGAAAGAGGCGGCTGAAACGTTGCCGACAGCCTCTCCGTCCTGTTTCTGTTTCCCTCCCTGTGCAAGTAAAAAGAATATCACTAATCGGAAACGTTTTTTTCAGGCGTGTGTTTCTTGAGGAGGGTCAATAATAACACGATATATACCATGGTTATATATATGTATTATGAAGGAATAAATTCATTAGCAATAAGACCGTTTTTCCATGAAATACACAACCAAAAATCTGTCGACCCTTAAATAAAGTAAGCATTTCCTCACCACAAGATAATCAAAGAAAACAAATAACAAACAAACAAACAAAAAACCGTATCCCAACCCCTCCCAACCGCCACCTTTACCTTGAGCCAAATGTGGAGGGAATCCACATCGCCCACGCAGTACCCATAAGGCAAGAGCTCCGGACGCGACAAGTTGGGAGCGCCGATTATGTCGTCTATGCGGTAACAGAGGATCGAATCCCCGTCGAGTCCCAGGGCTGAGACTGGATCAATGCGATTCCCATAATCCTGTAATAATAAGGAGGTTAATTACGGGTCTTAATTACTCGTTGAACTGATTATTATTAAGATGTTTGATTTATTACGATATTCGCTAGTACTATGATTCTGGCACCACGAAGGGATATTCGTATGCATATATCTTATTAAAGGATCTCAATACCATGCCAAAAAAGAATAGCATATCGAATGCCGTTAGCAAATAATTTTAATATATAGATATCATGAAATGTATACCCGTCTTAAAAGACCAACAAGGAATCCAACTCCACCTTCAGCGTATTGGCAATCATGGCGTCCAGCTCCTCCCACGACGTTTTGGCCTCGATCGTGACGTTTCCGATGTGCGTGAGGCAGCCGGAGGCGCTGACGGAGGCCCGGCCGGCGTCCAGAGCCGTGGCCAGCTCAGACTTCCCCACCACCATCACCTTCACCCGCCGACCCTCCTCGCGCGGGGAGATGTTCCCTCCTGAAGGGGTTGAGAGAGGGAAATGTGAGTGGGATTCGGAAGGGATTGGAAGGGAAAAAATGTAATGATATTTGGAAGGGATTGGGAGGGGGAAGAAAGAACATGTGTGAGAGTCAGGAGGGAATGGGAGGGAGAAATACAGTGATATTTGGAAGGAACTGGGAGAGAAAAAAGAACATGTGTGAGATTGGGAGGGATTGGGAGGAAAAAAAAACGATTTAGAGTCGGAAGGGACTGAGAGGGAAAAACGTGAGATTCGGAAGAGATTGAGAGGGGAAAAAATGAATGAGATTCGGAGGGGAGTGAGAGAGAGAGAGAAAAAAAGAACAAGACTGAAAAACAAAACTGCCATTCACAAAGGATTAGGTGATTCTATCCATCAACATATAACACATCCCACAACGTTATAAAATCACCAAAACCACCAGTACACCTCACCATCAACAATAACAACACATAAACAACACAAAATCCACCCATCCACACACACAAAATAACCGCATCTCACCCGCGATCGAATTCCGCATGGTGCCCCGGGTGAGCGTGAGGCCCGTGAGCGTGTGCGAGAGCGGGGTCAGCAGGGCGTCAGCTGCGGGCCCGTACTGCTGCCTCACCAGGGCGGTCAGGCGGCTGTTCTCCTCCTGCAGCGTCGTCACTTCGCCCTGAACGGAGTGAGGCGAGGTGAATGGCGTGGTTAATTCCTCGGGAGGTCATTATGGTAGAGTTTGGGGGTCGTTTAATTACTTAATTCCTCGGGAGGTCATTATGGTAGATATTGGGGCCGTTTAATTACTTAATTCCTTGGAGGTCAGCGTTATGGTAGATATTGGGGCCCGTTTAATTATTTGGGAGATAATTGTGGTTGAGATTGGGGTTTGCTTTATTATTTGGAGGGTGGTAATTACAAAGGGTTTCTTGACAATCAATTTACCTGGAGTCTGCTAATGGTGTCTGCCTGTGCCTGCAGTTGGTGCTGGGCCGAGAGCACCTCCAGGCGGCAGTCGGTCAGAGCGCGTTCCTTTTCGGCCACTTCCTGCCGGAGTTGGGCCACGGTCTCGGATTCGTTGTTAGGTCTGGGGGATTTGGGGAAAATCATTATTATTCGGGTTATTAAGATGCGTTTCGGTATTGGAAGAAAATAAAATGGAGGAAAAAAATGAAAAAAAGGGAGTTGGAATTGTGATACGTTTCAATTTCTTCAATTTCCATTTCAGAAAAAATAACGCAATGTACATCAGGATATTCCTCAAAGAATGAAAAGAAAAGAAACAACATCATGAAGAAGAAAAAGAGAAGCCCTCGAACCCCAGTCCCTTACACATGGAAATTTCCCTTCTGCTGCTTCATGAGCTTCGACGGCGCCTGCACCAGCACCGACTGGGTGGACGGCGGCGGCGGCGGAGGAGGCAGCTGGCGGACGGCGGAGTTGACCGTGTGGTGCATCGGCAGCTCCTGAGGGCAGTCCTCCGAAGCCCCCTCCCCCCCCTGCTTGCTGCGCTTCCTGCCGTGTCTCCCGAAGGCTCGTCGGAAGGAGCTTCTGAGCTGTGGGGGAGAAGGGTGGTCAGCAGGTGGAGGAAGGGGTTTGATTGGGTGGTTAAGCGAGGATGGTGTTTTTTTTGTCATTATTGTTGATGTACATTGGGCTGAGATCCGAATAAAAAATTGGCTTATTATTATCTAATATTGTTTTCTATTTTTCCTCCATTCCTCTAACATCTACAACTTCCACTTTTTCTTTCCCTTTCCCTCCACTCTTCCTCTTTTCCTCCCTATCCCCCTACCTCCAATCCCCACCCTCTCCCTCTCCTCTTTTCCTTCTCCCCTCTCCAACTTCCACTCTCTCATCCCTCCCTCCCTCCCTCCCCCCCTCCTCCCCTCCCTCCCCTCCTCCCCTTACCCAACTCCTCTTCTTGAGCTTCGACTGCTCCTGGGGGCTGAAGGTCTCCCCCTGAGGGTGAGGGTGCGGGAGGCCGTGGGGGAAGTGCTGCATCTGCCCCGCACTCAGCTTCCTCGAGTTGAAGGAAGCGAAGGACGACATCGACGCGGCGCTGATGGTTGAAGTGACACTCGAGACGCTGTCGCACGAGAGTTGGCGCTCCATGCTGAAGTAGCCTGGGTGATGACAGAAGAAAAATTAAAGAAAATGTGTAGAGGGAGACAGAAGGAGAAGAAAATAAAGGAAAATGTGTCAAAAATTGTCAATGAAGAGATGTTTGCTATAGAGCTTTTGTGGGTAGATATTGTATTTACAGATGATCAAAGGGTACAAAAATGATATTACATTAGTGATATTCAGGTAACTATAAACTTCTATATTAAAGTAACTTATTTTCACTTATGGTCTTCCTCAAAGAGCATAACTTAACTAAATATTTCTCAGGATCCTCTCATTCCTCTATAACAACAAACATCTTCAGTAATTCACAAACAAAAAACGTTTTGCTTACTTTGCTTACCTGAGCTGACAGATTGGCACACAGCGGAACTTTGTTGGCGCAGAACAGCTGCCGTCTTCCTCAATTCTGCTGCTTCTGTGTCCTGAAGTTGAAGGGGAAAGACCAGTGAGAAAGATGATGACATTTAGAAAAAAAAAAATCCTATATCTAATAAGAAATGAAGAAAGGAAACGATTTATGATGATAAACAACAGAATAATGATGATAATAATAATAACAATAAAATATAACAATAATAATAATAATATTGACACTGATAATAATTAATACGGTAATGACAATGAGTATTATCCTCAATAAAACTGCCCACCACCAAATCTAATTAACATATCTCTTTAATTTCCTTCTTTTAGTGACATAAATACCTAGTGACATACATACATTTCTCGCAAATTCCCTTTTAGTGACATAAATACATTTCTCTAAATTAAAATTTTAAATACCATACATTTCTCTTAAACTTCCTTCTAGTGACATAAATACATTTCTCGTAAATTCCCTTTCAGTGACAAAAATAAATCTCTCATAAAATCCCTTTTAGTACCATAAACACATTTCTCGTAAATTCCCTTTCAGTGACAAAAATAAATCTCTCATAAAATCTTTTAGTACCATAAACACATTTCTCGTAAATTCCCTTTCAGTGACAAAAATAAATCTCTCTTAAAGTCCCTTTTAGTGACAAATACATTTCTCGTAAATTCCCTTTCAGTGACATAAATACATCTCTCATAAAATCCCTTTTAGTACCATAAATACATTTCTCGTAAATTTCCTTTTAGTGACAAAAATAAATCTCTCATAAAAATCCCTTTTAGTAGTGTAATTCCCTTTCAGTGACAAATAAATTCTCATAAAATCCTTTTAGTACCATAAACACATTTTCGTAAATTCCCTTTTAGTACAAAAATAAAATCTCTCAATAAAATCCCTTTTAGTACATAAATACATTTCTCGTAAATTCCTTTCAGTGACACAAAATAAATCTCTCTAAAATCCTTTTAGTACCATAAATACATTTCTCGTAAATTTCCTTTTAGTGACCTCTCTCTCGTAAATCTTAGACGAAAGCCAATACATTTCTCGTAAACTTCCTTTTAGTGACATAAATATATCTCTCGTAAATGAAAAGTACGTAGACGACAGGCAATAAAACCCTACCTTCAGATCTGGCGACGATGCGAGCTTCTCCAACTTGTCAGTCACGTTGCTCATGGTCTGTTCCAACGCATTGACCACGTTCGCCTATTTTGAACGAGGAAGAACAGTTATTAATGCCGTGTTCTTGGAGTTTGATGTATGTACGTGTGAAAGGAAATAGTGAGTGATAGAAGGGAAGTGGGGATCATTTATTATATATATAGATAAGGGCTGAAATCAATGTCAAAAATGGTATCTTGATGTAAAGCGTCAAAATGGTCATCTTGAATTGAAACCAGCATCAAAATATATCCCATGTAATCTCATAGCTTAAACAAAAACAAAACAAAAAAATAAATAACAATAAGTTGAATTAAGGAAATAAAACATCAAAGTTGGTGACTGGAAAACATAAAACATCAAAATGGTCTATAAACAAAGCAACATCGAAACGGCCGTTAAGAAACCGCCCATCAGAATGCTCCCCGCCGCCCGCCCCGCATCAGCACGCGCGCCCCGTCTTCGTACCTGAGAGAACGCGGGGCACGACCTGTACTTGGAGCGCCTCGTGGCCACCTCCCACCACGGCAGCTGCGCCCGGTCTCGCTTGGCCACCGGCTGCGCCCCCTGCTGTTCCACGTTCCCCTTCTCCTCCCACAGGGGTTCCATGCCCCACGTGCGGCCCAGGGTGGTGTTGCAGCAGCCGTGGTGGCAGGGGGCGGTGCTGCGCAGTTCGTTCACCACCGAGGGGGAGCTCCGCGCCCGCCCCCTCTTGCCGGCGCCCGTGCGGATCGTCGCGAAGCCGTCGTGGATGGACCGGCCTCCTGGGGACACAGGGAAGGGAAATGAGAAGCCGCTCATGTTCAGTTCAGTTCAGTTCAGTTTAGTTTCTCTTGCCTTCTTCCCTACAAGCCTCTAGGTTCGAGGACGCTTCGTGCGGCCAACGACGACGTAACATTTTCGTTCGATAACTTACTTACTAACACCTTCCTAATCGTTTAGCTTGTTATACATACATATACATACATTAATATAAATACATGCACATATACATACATACACTACATACACATATACACACACACACTACATACATACACACACACATACACACGCACACATATACATACATACATACACACACACCTACCTACACCTACCTACTACCTACAATACACTACATACATACATACATACATACATACACACACACACACACACACACACACACACAACACACACACACACACACCTCTCTAAGTATAAATACCTGACATCATCCTCAGAAATAGAAATCTATTCATCATTCCTAATCCAATAACTTCTTTTAAAGCTATTTAGCCTTTCAGCGTTAATTTATTCTGCAGCATGTGTCGTATTTTCCCTCAGGCGTGCGAACATATTTATATTTATTTAGGGAAGAAGGGAGATGGTGGTGGAGAGAGGGAAGAAGAACGGGAGGGAAAAGGAGGGTGGAGGGTGGAGGGTAGAGGGTAGAGGGTAGAGGGTAGACGGTAGAGGAGAGGGGAGGGAGGGAGGATAGAGAGAGAGGAAGAGAGAGAGGAAGAGAGAGAAGAGAGAGAGAGAGAGAGAGAGAGAGAGAGAGAGAGAGAGAGAGAGAGAGAGAGAGAGAGAGAGAGAGAGAGAGAGAGAGAGAGAGAGAGAGAGAGAGAGAGAGAGAGAGAGCATAGAAATTACTAAAAGAACATGCAAGAGTGACAACCATTACAATAGAAAACACTAAAAGAACATGCATTGAGAGAAAAGAAAAAGAAAAAGAAAAATGAAAAAAAATGAAAAAGAGAGAGAAAAAAGAAAAGAAAACAAAAAAACCGAAGCAAACAGGAAAAAGACTCCCGAAAACCCCCCCCCGACCGAACCAAAACAAACGAAGCCCCGCCCACCTGGCGATCCATTCCCGCCCGCGCACCCATTACTGAGCGTCCCATTAACCTGAGGACACTTGGGTGGGGGGAGCTGGGTGCAGGAGGGAGGGTGTCCATTGTGCAGGTGTCCATTATGAGGTCCGTTGGCGGTGGTGATGGTGTTGCAGTGGTGGTGGAGGTGGTGGTGTCCTCGGGGCAGCGTGACGCACCCCTGGTCAGTCATTCCAACATCGGACCCAACCTGGAAGAGAGGACGCGGGGTCAAAATTTTGTTTTTTTCTTATTTTGTATTTATTCTTTTACTTTATTTACTTTATTTTCTTATTCTATCTAATCGTTATTTATTTAGCTACTTTTGGTTTTATTCTATGGAATCGTTTAAATTTCAGTTGCAACTGTAAAAAAAATTACATTCACCATTTTTTCCGGAAGCATATGTATATTTCCTTAAAAAAATAAGTACCAAAACAAGAGATTCACAGATTTTAGCTTCTATTTTATTTCACTATCATTATTTTCTTTT